ACACATGTTAAGATGAATCACTGATGACAAAGGACACTTTCCTTTCCTTCTTCTCCTCACCATGGTTCAAGCACCAGGGGCAAATCCTTCCATGCTCAAAGGTATGTTATTAACCCTGACACCTCCTGAGAGCTTCATTCAGTCCTTAACTTAAAGAAAACCACTATCTGATTAGGGTTAATTGATGTGTGAGGGGAGAGGTAAAGTATGGTAGCTGATGCAGATTATTACATAGAGGAATCTGCCAAATAGCAAAGGATAGAAAAATGAGTACAGGGTACCTTTTACTATTATAATTTGACTGTTATAAGGAAGCTTCCTCTAATACATTATTCCCATTTTACTATTATTTATATATTAAAAAAACAGCAATCATCATCGGAGACTCTATCATTCTTACATCTGGTTAACATTAATAGGATTCAATTACAGCTGCCCAACAAATATTAGCCTGGGACTCTTCATTCACAGCTGGTTGTATGTACTGACTGTCAGCACAGTTTGTGGAAGAAATGCTGACAATCTCTCCCTCTCTCCCTTCCAAATAGCTTGGATTTCCCAGATATTTATAAAACCACTTAAGTACACGCTACAGAAGACATCTTGCATATGCTGCTGCCTCTGCTGGCTCAGGGAATGAGAAATGATGCAAGACCAGTCAAGTCACTGTATCAGTGACAGGAGCATGAAAAAAGAGAAGGAGGAAATAATGCTATTTCAGAGGAACAGCAGCTCAGGATAAACTGCAATGTAGTCATGTGCCTCAGCAGGGAAAGTGAAGTAAAGTTAATCATGCTTCTTCCAGAGTTAACAAAATATTAAGTTGGCACACCAATCAGGACACAATAGATTACATCAGCTTAAACAGCATTCCAGTGTTATGGAACATCGGTTTCCAAAGAAAAAGGGGTTTGGCAAGTGTCATGGCTGTATAATCAATCACCTATGCTCATGATAGTAACATAGGATGTGTATTTTGCCTTGCAAAGCATTACACTTGGTGCCACAATAGCTGTATTAGCAGGCACTGAATATTTTTCTCATGTTGGTTTCTACAGATGGCATCAAACACTGAATTCACAAGATTTATGCCAATAAAGGTTGGGGAAAAAAGAATTCACAAGTGACATAGGACAGTCAAACAGCTTGAGGTAAGAATATCATGATCACTCTACTCTTTTGGGATACCCAACAACATGCAAATACATCTTATCTTGCTATTTTAAACTATCAGAGCTGTGTACCACAATTTTAGGCTGTGCATAATTATATCAATTGCAGTGCTTTATCAGTCAGCAGCTTTATTACTTTAAATTCAGATCTATGATGAACACTTGAATTGTAAATGTATATAATTAAAACCAAGTTGTATAGGAAATATATGCTATTATGTGTTAGTTTTGGTATGCAAAAAATTGCTTACAGATGTAAGTTGTATGCAGAGTTACTATATGCATATTATTTAGAAGAGAAGAGATTGGATTTATACCCCGCCCTTCACTTGGAGTCTCAGAGCAGCTTACAAATTCCTTTCCCTTCCCCCCAACAGGTACCCTGTGAGGTAGGTGGGGCTGAGATCCTCTTTCCAGAACTGTCTTTGAGAGAACAGCTCTGACAGAACTATGGCTTGCCCAAGGTCATCCAGCAGCTGCAAGTGGAGAATCAAACCCGGTTCTCCCAGATTAGAGTCCACGCACTTAACCACTACACCAAACTGGCTCATGCAATTTTACACACATCAAAACTACCACCATTTGAAATAGCATCTCTCTCATAACTTGTTTTTAAAACTAGAATTCAGAAGCTGAACTTGAAGTCTGAGTTCTCCCTACTGCTGGATCGATAAAAAACAACTCTAGCAATGTCTCAGAATTGCTCTAGCTAGCACTTTAATTATTTTGAACAGAAGGACTGCAATGAAAGTTAACAGAGAGAGTATAAATGAAAACATCTTACTGAACAAGACCATACTGATTTAAGCAATTCCATTCTAGAAATTCTATTAACACCCATTTACCAGGACATGGTAAAGCAAACAAAATGAAGCCCATGTCTCAAATCTGAGGTTCTGATTTAGGATATATTAAAGAGATGCTCAGTTATGTGCCAGAGCTGGAACTGCTTCTCAGGTCAGTAAATGAAACTTGAAGAAGGTATTTTTTTCTATGAAGCGCCTAGTCAACATCTTTATTCAGAGGACAACTGACGATCATGAATTCATACTATTCAGGAAATGTATTTCATTTTAAAAAATCTTAAAGTTTCTCATAGGCTATAATAAGGTCTTGGTGTGAGGATGAAATGCTCAAGAGGAAATGCCCTTTTAAAACACAGCTCGCATCACACCTACTCAAGACCCAAATGATTACTGGAAGCTGAATTCCATCAACCACAAGAGCTCTTATTAGCTCCCCAAATCACACTGCTTATTAGCCATCACGGCACCTCAAGTACTGTCTGAGTTCATCTTCAAGCAGTTAGCCCTTCTCCATGTCTAATCCTGGCCAATAAGCACCATGAGATCAGGTTAGGGTAAAAGGAGGAGGAGGAGGAAGAGGCATTATTACTGCTTGAATACCCACTCTAGACCCCCATATTCGCTCATGTAATAGCTTTTGCAAATACACCGAATAAATGGTGTGAGACCTGCAGGACACCATGGAATTCCCAAGGAGATACCAACCCCTCATTATTCTTTGAAACAGAGATGCTATGCTTGGCAAGGTCTAGGAATTCAAGAGCATCTAGGCCAGGGCTTCCATCTTATCGAGACTGTGGGCACTTTTAGAATGTTGAGAATGGAGAGTGGGCAGCAACACAAGGTGGCAGCCATGCAGCCGAGGCCAATCACAAAGCTTTAGGATGTTTGTCCAGGGAGCCTAAAAGTGTTTAAATTAAGGTCACAAATATCCATTGCTAGCAGGAATAGAGGAGGAAGAATGGAAGGAGGTCTAATCAGTACATTTTAACAGCTTTGATTGTAGTGCTTAGCTGTGGCTTGAAAGGCATTGATTATACAAAGATTAGACTACTGTAATATGTTCTGTGTGGGGAGGCCTTCAAGAATGTTCAGATACTTCAGCTGGCTCAAGATGGAGTGGCTACTGCCACGTGCTTTCGAAGACTGGAAGGTTGCAGGATTTAGACGTCCTCATGACTTAACAGACAAAGGAGTAATGAGAGACAAGCAATACTTCAACCAGAAAATGGGGAAACAAACTCCCTGGTTTCAATATTTGCAGTTAAAAAACCTCATTGATCGTCTCACAGAACTGGGAATGTTTCAAAGAGAACATGGAAAGAATAATTAAACTTTACCCCAGCTCTCTAAAGGGCATCCTGTCTAAATTATATAATACGATCATATCGGAAGGAGATCATCCGAAACTCAAATACCAACATCGATGGGAAGAAGATCTGCTGGTATGATGGGATGACACAGATTGGGATAATGTGTGGTACTCTCCAGCCAACCACTCTAACATTTTCAATATCCGACTACAGTTTTTCAAACTTTACTCCAGGTGGTACATGACCCCTCATCAATTACAGAAAATAAACATAAATAATGATCCGCGATGTTGGAAGGGGTGCGGGCAGGTTGGCACTTACCTACATTGCTGGTGGGAATGCCCAAGACTCGGCAAATTTTGGGAGGAGATCCGAAAACAGATCACAGATATAACTTCACTTAATCTTAATTTCAAACCCGAAAACTTTTTACTAAATCACTGGGATATCGACATTGATGTCAGAAATAAAGAAATAATTTCTTTACTTCTGGCAACAGCATGTCTGACAATAGCTTCATGTTGGAAGTCTCCATCACCACCAATGTTATCCGTTTGGCATGAAAAAGTGTGGGAACAATTTATGATGGCAAAAATCGCAGATGAGCACAATCATCTCAGTCTTCCAATCCCAAATTTGAATCAATCTGGTTTCCGATATTCTCATATCTCACCAAACATGATATACTTCCTGCAAATCCACATTATCATAAATGGTTACTGATGTGAAACATTATTATAAAAGCCTGTTGGGAAAAAACAACATTCGCAATCCTTACTCTTCTAATTCTGAAGACTTATGACCATGGGTATTACAGAAGATCTCTTTGTTGAAATATCACACTAACTACGATTTAGTCTTCATATGTTATTAAAATGTATCACCATGTTTATGTATTTCTTTTATTGGCAACAGTATGGCATAAATTGTTTTGAAAAAATAAATAAAAAATATATTTTTAAAAAAGATGGAGTGGCAGTGCTGTCAGGGAAATGCTAATCACCACTTTGGGGTCAGGAAGAAATTTCCTCCAGGCCAGTTTGGATCCTGTTTGGATCCAGTTTGGATCCTGGAGGGGTTTTTGCCACCTTCTGGGCATGGAGCAGGGGTCACTGTGTGTGTGTGTGTGTGGGGGGGTTGTGAGTTCCCTGCATTGTGCATGGGGTTGACTAGATAACCCTGGAGGTCCCTTCCAACTCTATGATTCTACAGGGACTACAGTTTACCAATTTTCAGAGTTTTTCACTGGCAGCCATTTATCTTCCAGGTCCAAGTGCTGGTTATGATTTATAAAGGGCAGGGTATCTGAAGGACTATCTTCTCCTGCATGAACCTTCTCACTAGTAAAGATTACCCTCCCTTCCTTCACCTGCCACTGATCTTCTCTTTACTAAGGAGATTGGTACTGATAAAACAGTAGGAAAAGAACACATCAGAGCTACTGAGATTTCAACCTGCTGTTTCACAGTTGCACAAAGCCATCATTAGAATAGTCAGTGGGTATGTTTCCAACAAAGTGTTGACCTCCAAACACTTCCAGAAGCAGACTACATAAGTGGAAGAGGAAATTTATTCTTTGCCTTCAGAACAGGGAAGTAGTACAATAATAAACACTGGGTCTGCATTGCCTAAAAATAATTCTGCTGGTATCTATGTTATTGTCTCTCAAATGTTAATAGTGATAAGAACTTTTCAAGTACGTGACTTACAGGATCAGAGGGTCCACAGAAATCTCTGAATACTTTTGAGGGATCCATTTGTCTGATCTCTAAAGCTATACAAGGTCCTGAGCAGAGTTCTACAACCATCTCCTATAAAAGGAAGAAAAAAGTAAGGATTTTGTAAGGAAATAATTAAAAATTTTACATTTTTATTAAAAACGGCACTGTAACCAAATGTAAGCCATAGTTTCAAAGGCAGTTCTAAAAATTTCAGTAGGAAGTTTCCTAACAGAATATGATTATTATAAATTTATTTTCATACCATCTGAGCATGATCTGGGATGGTTTTTTTGTGATTTTACTGATATCATGATCTACAATCTTCACATCCTGCTGTCTTTAAAAAAAGGATATTGAGAAAACTCTCCAGCTTCCAAAATGTATTTTTATGAACCACAATGACTGAAGAAAAAACTGCTGAAAATCTCAAGTGAAAACCTCTTCTTCACATATACCTCTCCTAACTTTTAGCCTCCCTTAATTCTGGAATGGAGATTGTGAGAAATATGATACCTCTGTTAAGCATCCTACTAGTTAAGAGTATACACTCATAATGAGATACAGCACAAAAAAAGACTCATGATGTATCTCATTAGATAACATACAGGGTTTTCCAGAAAGGGAAATACTTTCTCTTTAGATCTTCGTAGTTATACCTCCTGTTGCAGGTTATTCTATCCACAGGTCAACTATAGCATTTTGGTTCTAGGCGGTCTGAAGCACAGATCTGGCTAACATGCATGAAAATGCCAAAAACCAAATGTGTCAGAGTGTTAGAATGCTGATATTCAGCAACAGAGAAAGATCTAAGACAGATATCATCATAGGAGGATGGAGACAAGGATTGAAAAGTATTTTATTGACCTTGCATAGTAAAAATGCTCTTTACAACCTAATGAGGGCTAACTATGATGCACTGGCCATGATCACTCTGAAGTGATCAGCATGTAAGGTATTTCTTGTCAAAATATCGACTCTTTTGTCCACCATTCTAACCAATGTTCCCTCTAAGCTCCAGTGTTGTGAGCAAAAATTCTACCTCATGAGCAAAAAAAAATCCCTAGTAGCATTAGAAGATAATTTCCATAACCTTGTAAAAATTTCAGAAGGAATTCTTTTAAACTACATTTAGAGAATAATTTAAATATTGTCAGAGAAAACAGAATCAAGCCAAATTTCATTACACATGTTGTCCTCTACAGGGGTAGACTAGGCCTCTGGAGAACAGGTCTCCCTGCCCCCTTCCACTATATTGGTAGACCTATCCTCCAGAGAACAGGTCTACCCACCGCTTTCCACTATAGTGGCAAACTGGCCTCTGGAGAACAGGTCTACCCAACCCAGTCCACTGGTAGACCTGGGGTTGGACTGTTGCCTTGTGCTGACCCTTAGAAAATATACCAGCACTTATGCGAGAAAAAACTCTTGTAGTCTACTTTGTTGTTTTTTTTAATGAAATATGAAAACCAGCATTACAGGTCAGGTATAACAGTGGTGGAACAATCACTGTCAGAACCCTGCCTAATCTAACAAACAGGGAGTTGCTTAAATGTTATCAGCCTGTCCAAACTACTTATTTATTTATATCCCACTTTTCCCTGTGACTCAAGGGAGCTTACAAATCATACTGAAAAGCATAATGGGGTGATTGGTGATTCTGACTCAGTTATAGCCTACAGGGACCATTATAGTCAATGAGCCTCATAGGCTATAATGGAAAATTGATCTGGGGTTATCTGGGGTTCAGGGAAGCCGGTTTTTGAGGCAGAGGCACCAAATTTGCAGCATAGCTGTTGGTGCCTCTTCTCAAAAAACCCCCAAGTTTCAAAAACGTTAGACAGGGGGTCCAAATGTTCCCTCTAAGGTGTGGAGTCTTGTGAGCAAAAATTCTGCTTTGTGAGCTACCGGCATTAAAGTTGTGAGCGAGCAATTTGGCTACTGCATCAATTAGTTTGCTCTGGAGACATCCTTCCTGAGCTAAGACAAAAATGTGTGAGCCGGAGGCTTAAAAACTGTGAGCTAGCTCACACTAACTCAGCTTAGAGGGAACACTGGTCCAAATCTATGGGCCCCAGAAGGAGGTGCCCCAATCCTCCATTGTTTCCTATGGAAGGGAAAAAAACATTGGGAGTTGAAGCAAAAATCCTTTGAGCAGCCCTCTGAAATGTTGTGCGCCAGCACCCCCTAGTGCAGCTTAGAGGGAAATGTGACTCTAACTACTACACTACACTGACTCTCGTCTCCATGTAAAATGACACCCACATCCTGAACTGTTGTTTAAAATTGGTAATGGGCTAGATGAACTGAAAATCCAGATAAGACTGAAGAGCTAATGGTTAATAAGGCCAAGCTATTAATTCTGGATTTGCAGATGGAGGCACAGATCTCCTCTGGGGCACATAGCAGCCTTTAACAGCATTGATTGGAGTGTCAGCTGTGGCCCTTCCTTGAAAAGCGTCATTTGGGCACAGACATCAACATGCTGATTATGTAAATGTTTGACTACTGCAATACACTCTACATGTGGATGCCTTTAAGAATGTCTAGACTCTTCAGCTGGTTCAAGATGCAATGGCAACAATGCCAGTAAGAGTCAGTTACAGGGACCACAGGTCACCATTTTTCAATGTTCTTCACTGGCAGCCATTTTGCTTCCAGACACAATTCAAAGCGCTGGCTATAATTTATGAGGCACAAGGTATCTGAAAGACTACATTCTCCTGCATGAACCTTCCCACGGTTTTAGATAGGCATCACGGGCTCTGCTTTATGTGGCCTCACTATCTGAAGCAAGGTAGCGAAGTACCAGTCAGGATTTTCTTTCTGTGGTGGCACTGTCTCTATGGGACTCCCACCAGTGCCAAGTTTGTATTTTTTTAGGTGCCAGGCAAAGAAGCTTTTATGTCAGGATTCTTCAATGTGACATTTATAGCGCCATTGCCCCCTCAGTACTGTTTATTCTTTATGGTCATTACTCTATAAAATTATTTTTTAATTATATACTCTATTTAACAATTCTGCTTTTATCATTTTATTACTGCTTTTACGTTTTACTCACAGTCTTTCTTAGGTGTGTATTATGTTTTAAACATTTAAGGTTTTAATTAATCTTGTAAGCTACCTCAAGAACATTATAGTGAGAATTACAATTCCATTCATTAAAAAAAATTGACACATTATTTACTTACAGAATATTCAGCAACAACACCTTTGTAAATCGCATAGAATTCTTCTGCATTTGCACGGTCCATGTAGAACTGTATGTGAAACAGAATGGAAAGGCAACATATCATTCTGCTTGTGGAGAGAAGAAAGAATAACCCTCAGCTTTATAGTTGCTCTTTCCTACATAAACACAACCTGAATAGGTTTCATATTGTTTCTAAATTAATCCCTTGCAAGTCCCTAAGAATGTATAGTTCACCCCCCCCAAATAAAAAAGTGATGAAAACAAAAGGAACCAGGAAGCAAGAGTTCATTTGCTACTAATGCATATTCAATTTCACATCACAATTAAGAAAGGGGGGAGAGCTGAATGGCATAATTATTCTGTGGGGAGTGTAATAACATGCCACACTGATGACTTAAGCACACCAGAGATCTCAGCATTATGCATCAGATGTGACTGACAGGCTTCAGTTCTATGCACACTGATCTGGGAGTAAGCCTTATTCAACTTTGTGGAACTTACTTTTGAGAAGGCTGTCAGTACGAGATGGCATATATATTATATATTATATATTATATGCAGTATAATAAATAGTGGTACTATACAAAACTCACACCACTCAGGCCATTAGTGTTTCCATTTTACAAAGGGGGGAATTGGTCAGATGGCGCTCAGGTCAGAGCTCCCATACAGTCAACAGCTTGGAACTGATCTTCAGATCAGAACTATCAAATGAGGACATGCCATCCATGAGGCCCAAAGAGCTATGCAGAAACACAGGCCCTACCATAGCCTTTATCTTTGGTTCCTGGTCATTCATATGACTTGCTCCATATATTGTGAGGGTTTTCCCCCTCCAAAGCCACAAGAGGATGAAGGACATACCATAATTATTACAACCAAAAGATTATTCTGAAACCATAAATTATAGCAAAGAATTTATTTATAAAACCTCCAAAAATCTATATAATATTTCTGTGATTGTCCTAATGAAACAAAATGGCTAGTTCCATTTTTGTTTAGGGAACTACCGAACCCAGCTAAATAGTGGGATTATATATCTGCTGGAAAATGACCTGCTACTACCCAGCAATGGGATTTCTTTATGGAATCAATATGCCCCTCGAATACTCAGCAAAATTACCCAGCTTAACTTCTGTTACCTAGCATAACACCAAACCTGATTTCCACTTTTACTAATATTAAGTTTACTATATTTTCTTGACTTCTGCTCTTGCCTGTGTTCTGAGTACTACTTGTGAAGGACTCCTGTGTTGAGATTTTCAAAGTGAGAACAACCATTGTGTCTTTAAGGCAGCAAGTTTTGGTGTTACCCCGGGGTGGCCTTTTTTACCTTTAGTGACTTAAGTAAGTCTGAATAATTTCCTGTGTTTCATCTCAACTACAGCAATCTGAAGACCAAGACTGCTGCCCCATCCCTTTTTTATTGTCTCACTAAACATCAAACCTAATGGCAAACTGGAAAGCTAATCTGAAACATTCTGGGTAGATCCTAGTAAAGGTTATTCTACCGTTGCTACGAGGCAGAATGGAAATATATTTTAAACACTTTGAAGCTACAACAGTCAAGCTGATAGAATACTACTTCCATGTTTCCTCCTCCAAGCATGTGGGCCTTGTTCCTTACAGGCCCTATGGTTTTGAGTTCTCCCATGCCACTAGCCCTGAAATGTAAAGCATGTAACTCTGGGTAGAAAGGAAACTAATTTCCAACAGGAGCATTTTATTTTTTATTTATTTATTTTTAAATTTATATCCCGCCCTCCCCGAAGGCTCAGAGTGGCATTTTGGTATTTCTGTCAAGTGCAGCTTAAATTGTATTGTATTTGTGGCAGCAAACTGTACCACCAATAGCATATGTGGATAGGGGCCATGTAGCCTTTTCTTTAGCTTCTTTCCTATGATCAATGAGCACAGAAACTCTGACTGTTGCTGGCCCCAGGCAAGTGATTGAAGTGTTTGCTTCAGAGGCAAAAGAACAGAGTTGGGCAGCTTGAGCTTCTCAGGCTATAATGCACAGATATTTTAATCTGCTGCTGCTGCTGGAGAGGCAGTTAATATGTTTGGAGTTGCTGCTGCTCAAGGAAAAAAGGGGGATATCACTGAAAAACATGGCAGCCACGTCATTCTCAGGCACTCCCAACTAAAAAGGATTAAGGTGCTACTGCAGGAGAATGCTACAATTGATATTTCTCTACATTCTCTGGAGATTTCTCAACACAAATCAAGAACAAAAAACTTACCATCTTCAAGGCTGAGATTTCAAATCCTGTATCAATTACTGCTTTTATAATCTTCCCAGTCAGTCCTGCAAAAATTTAATACATATATATATAGGTCAGCACTTTTAAGACTGAAAAAGAATACCAAAATCTTGGGCCTCATATATGTTTTTACTATAGTACTTCACACATTTATATATTTGATTTATTCTATTTATGTAATGTGACCTGCACATTTTATCAAGGGAATATGCAGAACAGACTCGGAAAGTTAAGGTAAGATACATGTGAAATTTTTCCAAAATCAGAACGCATACTCCACTCTCCAGAGTAAATGCTGCCTGGTTTTTACAATACTTATACAAAATATAAATCTCATTAAAAATCAGTTTTACTTATGAATCAAAATTAGGCTATACAACTTTTTCATTACTAAAGCTAAGGTTGTTTATAAGTAAAATAAATCCAAATTCTGCAATCCACCCTTTCCACATATAGACCTAATTCCCAGGCACTAGATCATGAAGTCATTCATTTTCTATAAAATTTTCTACCTGAACTTGATGTCAGGGTTGATAAACTACTTGCACCCTTGGGCAGTGGGGGTGGGGTGGGGGCGGAGGGGAGAAACAACTACAGAAAGAAGGAGTATATGGAATGAGGACATTTATTTATTTATTTATTTATTTATTTATTTATTTATTTATTGAGATTTATATCCCGCCCCATCCCGTATTC